CTATGATTAAGGATTCCCGAGGGAATCCGAAAAGTCAGGCAAATAAAACTCTAGTTCAAGTGATCACATCTTCTTCTGATTCTGGTCGATATTTGATCTCAGGTGCTTTGACAATGGTGTGCCGATCATCTTTCCGAAACTTCAGCATCACAACAATTCCCATCTGCTGAGTTGTTTCAGCTTCTTTTTATATTTTATTCCCAGACCTAACCTTTGACCACCTGAATAAGACACGCTCAGATGACCTCGATACTTTGTTTGTTACCAAAGGTTCAAATCAAAGTGACTCACAACAGTAAAACGTGGCAGAAGTTACCAAATAAAATAACATATAAACGAAGTGTTTCCGGCACTTAGACTCGATACTGGTTAAGGTCATTATCCTGTTTTATCACCACAGCCCTGTCTTACACTGCCAGTGTTCTCAACGGTACACGACAGGTAGGCAGGATGCAATTTGACTAGGTTCGTATAGACAGCTTTAAGAGTCACTGGGGCAGATGGTGGAGAGTTTTTTATTCCCGATAATCAATTAGGCCCCACTTTTAATTCAATTACTAAATGAGACATTATTGTATGAAACAAGTTATGCTCCTAGGCACCAGTCAACCGGTTTATTAAATCGATCTCATAGCGTGCTGATTCCCTCTTAACTAGATGCCACACAGCATATGAGCATACAGTGCTTAGCTTGTCCTTTTGCAGTTACAAGGTCGTCTAGTCTTGCTCTCGTGTTGTTGAGTCAGTAGCAGCAACGTTCACCTCAGTGAAGCGCTCACTGTCTGATGTATTGAGTAGGTGGTGACGTGAGCAGAGTGAGTCGGTGTGGGGTCTTTAAGTCGTTAGGCAGAGTAGGCATAGCTAATCAACCCCAGTGAACAATGATGAGTCATTAGATGCCCTCGAGGATACTCTGCCACCCACAGAAAGCTAGACAGCTTCCTAGCAAATTTGATGTAATACGTTTAGGAAACTAGAGAAAATATGCATATCGCCCCACGCAAGTATAAATTCTCAATCACGACGACTGAGCTGAATCCTAAGATCAAATTCATGGTATAAAAGGAGCAAGACGTCTAGCTGAACTTCTTAGGGGTTCATATGTTTAGACAAGAAAATGGCCGAATAACACGAAATGTTTTCCATAACAATATATTTTGAGTTGACCTAATTGTGAAACAACTCGAGGTATTTGGTGGCATTTGAACCT